CTCCTCCCAGGGCCATGCCTCTGCCACGGATGGCTGCCTGTCCCATACCTCTGTTTGCTTGTCCTCTGCCACGGACACTGTCCATTCTGCCCAATCCCCTGCCATGGCCATAGTCCATTCTACCCTGGCCATCATCCATTCTGCCCAGCCCCCTGCCACAGCTATCATCCATTCTGCCCATCCCGGCCCCATGACCATCATCCATTCTGCCCATTCCCCTGCCACAGCCATCATCCATTCTGCTGTATCCCCTGCCACAACCATCGTCCATTCTGCCCATCCCCCTGCCACGACCATCGTCCATTCTGCCGTATCCCCTGCCGCGGCCCTCCTCCATTCTGCCCTGACCCCTGCCGCGGCCCTCCTCCATTCTGCCCTGGCCTCTGCCCCGGCCATCCTCCATTCTGCCCTGGCCCCTGCCCCGGCCATCCTCCATTCTGCCCTGACCCCTGCCCCTGCTTACTGGTCCAGTGCCTCTATTGCCTTCTGACATAACTGTGCCTTTTACTCTGTTTTCTGACCCAGGTAGATCTTGCCCCAGGGTGCCATCTGAAACAGGCAATTTATTATCTGCAGAATTCAAGTCTTTATCTCCTGGTACAGGGGATGGAGTCACTATTGCTGTTTCTCCTGTTCTTGATGGAACAGGAGATTGCAAAATTGCAGAACTACTGGGAACAGATGCCAGTTTTTGACTCTGTGCGGGTGGAGGCTGAGTGGTTGGTTTGGACTCTTCTGCTTGCTGTGCTGGATCCTGAGAACTCCAAGTCCACTTTTTAGGCTCTGAAATGACTTCTTTTACTTCAGATTTGGGTGGTTCCTGTTGCATTTTTTTCAAGTCCTCATTTGGCTGGACTGGACCAGAGTTCTTTGCATCTGTATCAATGGGAATTGGAGTAGACTGAGTTCTATTTGCCATCTGTTGTTTTCCAGCAGCATCAGTAAAAGGTTCTTTGTTTTCAGTCCGGGACTCTGCTTGTAGCTGCTGTTGTCCAAAAGAAGGCCTGGGACCCCTGCACTGGGGCCCACTTGGTCGGGTACTATGCATCTGTGATGTAGTTGGGGTAGTATAAAACTGTGATGCTGGGCCACGTGGGATAGTCCCCCATTTGCTCGAAGACTGTCTATCTGACTTTTGATTTTCATATCTGGGTTTTGGACCTTCCAAGTGCTGGCCCTCAAAACGAGGCCCTCTTTGTCTTGGCCCTTCAAATCTCTCAAAACCTCTTCCTCGAGGTCCATCAAACCTACAGGAAAACAAGAGGCATTTTATTAAAAAGAACCAATCAGGTAAGAAATCTCTAGATGATACTTCCAAGTTATGAAGTCACTTTCATACAGAAGAAGGGTTCCTTATGAACAACTCTCATTGAACCACAGCAGAAACACAAATCAATGCTCTTCAACTGTAGAGTGCATAACTGAGTGATTCAAACCATTTGCAGAATCTGCAATCTCCAGCAAGCAATGCCAGATACAAAGCTACAAAATAATCACTGTAATACCCTCATGCTACACCCCCACATGCAGTTACATGCTTTACTGTTTCACATAATCAGGTGGCACTATTCATTTAGACTTCAAGGAAAATTCTGCCATGATAATGTGAGAGTAGCAGCATTTTAACTATTTCAGCAATGTCATTTAAAAACAAGTGGCAGGTGTAACACTCAGCCATGAAGACTAGTCACCACAGGAAAATATATCAGTCTGGAAACCAAGTATATTATATTAAGAAAACTTATGTCTAAATCCCTGTACTAAACTGACACCTAGATGATCAAGGTTCTATTTCCAGCTCTCTATGTGACAACAGGCACGTTACAGTTTCTCTCCCCCGATTCTCCATCAGAAATATAATTATATCCCTCCGCACAAGTGTGTGAATAAATCATGTCAAAAATAAACTTGAAAAGGCAGAGTATATAAATGCAAAAAAATAACATGGTGCATCACAAGCTAGCAAAGGCAATAATTTCAAAGCTAAGGCCAAGGCCCACTCCTCCGTTTATAATTTTATATCTTTTTTAAGCCATGTTAGAGTTACGTAACACCAGACACATGCATAAAAAGGCATGCATTTTTATTAAATAAGTACTATTAGTCTAGGAAACTTAACTTCAGTAGTGATATTCAGTGGCAGATCCAGGAACAAGGTAAGGGGTATATCCCCCACCCCAACTTTAACTGTGCCATGTATGTACAGTGAGCTCTGAGTTTGCTGCCCAGCCAGTGTGGGCTCCTGTTGGAGCTATGGGTGGGGAGCAAGCTGTAAGTTCACTACCTGATCAAGGCAGGATCTGGCCTTTTCATATGGCCCAGGGGCTGAATGCTGCTGCTATTCATCCTTCCTCTCCCCATACCCCAATTCAGCAGCAAGGGAAAGGAGGGGATGAGCTATGATGGCAGTACTCCTCCCCTGGGGTCTAGACCAGAGCAAAAGCACAGGCTCTGGCCAGACCCCATGCCAAGAACTCACACATGGCACAGCCAAAAAGGGTACAACCACGCCACTATGCCCCCTCTGGATCCACCTGTGGTCATATTGGAATTCTGCTTTGAAAACAGCACTGCATGGAAGAACCTGGAAAGCAGCTAGAATTCTTTCATACTAAACCAAGTTAAGGACAAAGTCTCAAGCTGTGGCTCCAGTTTTCAGTTTCTTCAGCAGTGCAAGTAGCTGCAGTTTAGGATCCAAACTGATTTTTTTTCCCCGATTTTACTACCATGCAACTTACTGGCTCCAAGGCAGTAACGGTAGTTGGAAACTTGCCTGAACTTCTTTCACAGTGTATACATTATAATATTATCAACTACATGTACGGTAATTTTGCTTGTATATAACCTTTAAATATTTCTAGATCAGCTGTTCCCAGACTGTGACCCAAGGATCACAATCAGCATAGCACTTGCAGAGGGTTTACAATGAGATATATTATCATCCTGTGCAGGCTTTTCTCTTGGTTTCTAGCTCAGGGGTCAGCAACTTATGGTCCACGGGCCAGAACCAATGAACAGAGGCAGTGGATCCAGTATGTGGTATGAGGACTTTGATGGTGGTAGAGGAGGTTTCAACTGTGGCATTCCACAGACCAGCAGCTGCACAGCTTTACCCATGCCATGTCATTGCCAGGTGATAGGGAGAAGTGGCTGGAAAATGTTGCTAAACCCTGTTCTAGCTGCATTAGAAGAAATTAAGAATACATTAAATATTTTAATGCACCTCTTCCATGGAAGCAACAGCTGGAATTGTAAAAGGGATGGTATGTGCTTGAGAATGTCAGGTATGCTGCTCTTTTCTCAATCTCACTAGAAAATGAGTTCTGTCCTAGGTAATGCCCAAGTGTAAAGCATGCTTCTCTGACCTTTCTTGCAGTAAGGTAAAAACAGAACACAGGGCACTTCTCTCAAACAAACAAACAAACAAACAGAGCACACAACATTGCACACAAGTCCCTCTACACTTAGGAGAGAACAAGAATGAAGCATGGGACAGACCTTCTATCGTTAATACATTACTGAGACGCAACCAAGTGCTCAAATGACTTGTTAAGAATAACATGTATAGAATGGAATGTATAAAGGAGGCTTACCTAGGACCTCTTGGTCCTTCAAAGTATGGTCCTCTTGGAGGGTCTGGAAGCAATCCACCTGATCTCAGAGGTTTATCTTGAGTGAAGGTAGTGATGGAGGTGGTGGGTGTAAGTGGTGAAGTTCCTGTGGAGGTTTTCAATTCCCCAGATCCTTGCTCAGATGAAACTGAGGCAAATGGCCCAGATTGTTTAGCCATGTGAACCTGACTGTTTCCTTGGTCTGAAGGGGCAATAGATGAAGTTATCTGAGAATGATAGGGTAAAGTTGCAGCTAAGCCAGATACTTTAGGTGCAAATGAAACAGGGGTGGGAAGTAGAGCTGGCCTTGGTGTCTCAGTAGGCTGGGGGCTCTGAGAACTAGATGTTGGGGGAATGGATGAATTTGGCATTTGAGAACCAGAAGACAGGGGTGGAGGAACCTGTGGAGGTGTTGTGGGAGGCAAAGTTGGAGGCATAACAGGAATGCTTCCTTGAGCTGTTTGAGTGTATGAAGCAAATGGAGGTGGCATTGTAACACTTCCAGGGTATTGATTCTTCATGTTCTGAAGTGAGTTTACTTTCTCCTGCAAATGGGATTGAGTAGCTTTCATCTGTCCCTGCCATGTTTGCCATTGTTTCTCATATTCCTGAAGCTGATCTTTGTGAGGATAGGTCTGGAGCTGATCCTGCCATTGCTGGAATTCACGCTCCCATTCTTTATGCAGTTGCTGGAACTGTTTCTGCTGTGTCTCATAATGTTGCAGCTGCATGTCCACTGACATGGTCTGTAACAAAAAAATGGAAATTACTGTAGAATACAATTTAAGATCCTGCTGGGGCTATGTTTTTTTAATATTACCCTCCATCAATCTCTGACTTGGGAAGAAGCTTGAGAGCCGAGCTATGTAAAAACAAAGGCAAACATGACCTTTGGCATCTGAAATATATTTGTGACATTCTGCTGTCTCCAACTTACAAGTTTCATTGCTGGAAGATGACAACACCTCCTCATACAAAAAGCCCACCTGCCTAGGGGATGAGGGGGAAGGAAAGCATACTTAGTAAAAAAAATTACTCCTGCAACCAATGTAACTGTTTAGAGCTCTGACTGTGATATTTTCTCTTTCTACTAAATTCCAAATTAATCAATCACTAAAATATATGGAACGCATGGTCCTGTTTCATCAGCTTGTCAATTTATTTCTCTGGGTGGACAGCAGTTCACATTAAATGGAAACATTTTCTGCATACTTAGGAACTGTATAAACTGCAGTAGTTTTCAGAGTCTAATTTGATTACCTTACAAACAAAGAACAATCTTTCCTTAAACTTGTGATAACTAGTCAATTATTTGCACTGTGGTAGTATCCAGGAACCCCACTCAGGATTCAGGACTCATGACTATAACTGCTATTTTAAAAAAAAAAACACTCATAATAGACGCGGTGTTTTCCAAAGAACAGGGATCTGAAGTGGGCCTCAAGAGACCTAAATTCTATTCCTGATTCAGTTACTAACCTGCTGGGACACCTTGATCTCTCCACGAGCTCTCAGTGTACGTTTCTCCCATTTCTCCTTGTCTAGTCGAACTCACACATTTAGACTGCAAGCTTTTGCATACAGGGACCATCTCCCACTATGAAAACGTACAACCCTTAAGCCAGTGATTCTCAACCTTTTTTGACTCAAGTCACCCCTCGGAAAATGCCAGACCTTAGTTTTCACTTGCGTTTTGACTACAGAAAAATAATAGAGCTATTCTTCTATTGCAAAGAACTCAGAAAGACCACAACAGGTCAGAACATTTTTAATGCTACGGATTCCTATTTGAAATCTCTGGGTATTTTATGTCAATCATGTTTGCATACCTAACAGTGCTAACATTGTGCAACACCCCTTGAAAGGATCTCAAGGCATCCCAGAGTGCTGCAATATCCTGGTTGAGAATCACTGTCTTAGACCTTTGGGGTCCTCATCACCATTTTATACCTTGGTTATACTTTTAAATTAGGTGTAATTTACTTTTAAAATAAGAATAAAAAAGGACCCATGCCACAAAGAAGTTGAAAACATATAGGTCCCACAACCCCACAACAATCGCCTTTGTTTTGCAACTGCACTGTCAAGCCCAGCTAGCCATTCTTAGAGATGTTGATTATTTTCTGTCTTCCTACTAATTTATATTGATAATACAAATCCTGAGGTAGAGTATCACAATTAGTTGCATTTTATCTAAACATTTTTATTTTTGGCATTCTTGCATTATCATTTTTAACATGTGGGAACAAATGATGCGGCCTGGAGTAGTCTGGGATGGGTCATGGCTGACTACATGGCTCTGGGAGACAGTCTTAGAGGTTCAGGGGCTCAAGTAGTCTTCTCGTCGGTCCTCCCAGTCAGCGGTCGTAGCCAGCACCACAGCAATTGCATTGGGGAGGTCAACTCATGGCTTTGGAGTTGGTGCCACCGTGCAGGGTTCGGCTTTCTAGACCATGATCTGTACTTCCAGGATAGGACCTTGCTGGGACATGACAGTCTACATCTCTCTCCAAAATGTAAGTGTCTGTTCTCTTACAGGTTGGCAGACCTCCGATGTAAAACTTTAAACTAGCTTCATTAGGGGACGAGGATGACGAAGCCAGGATGAGACCAGGGAAGACGAGCCACAAACCGCACGCTGGAATTGACCAGGTAAGTACTAAGGGGCACACTAAGAAACAGGATAGGGGAGTACTAAGGGCACCTACTGGGGGGCTTAGGTGTCTCTATACTAATGCTAGAGGTATGGGTAACAAGCAGGAGGAACTTGAACTCCTGCTTGCAGACAAAGATTTCAACCTGGTTGGACTAACAGAAACCTGGTGGGACCTTTCCCACAACTGGGCAGTGGGCATTGAGGGTTACAGGCTATACAGGCAGGATAGATTGGGGAAAAAAAGGGGGGGGTCGTTGCTCTATACATCAGGGAACATTATACATCTTCTTTAATAAAGATGAGGACAGAAGAAGGACAAATTGAAGTCCTATGGGTCAGATTACAAGAGGGTAGGGGTGAAAAGGACTTGGTAGTGGAGGTCTACTACAGACCCCCACCCCAGGATGAGGAGTTAGACCTAGAATTCTCGAAACAGCTCTCAAAGGCAGTACACTCAAAGGACCTAGTGGTTATGGGTGACTTAAATTACCCAGACATCTGCTGGGAGGAGCAGTCAGCCAGGTCTGCCCATTCCCGTAGGTTCCTAACCTGCATACAGGACATGCACCTAACACAGGAGCTATGCAGTCCCACTAGGGGAAATGCCATACTTGACTTGGTACTGGCCACAGGGGAGGACTTGGTGGGGGATCTACAGATACAAGGTCACCTAGGGGATAGTGACCACCAGTTGATATGATTCACTATCCGGCGAAAAGTGGAAAAGGCAAGGCAGGAGTGCTAGACTTCCAGAAGGCCAACTTCAGTGAGCTCAGGAGATTAGTTAGAGTGAGACTGAGGGGTAATCACATCTGTGAGTTGGGAGTCCAAGAAGGGTTGGTGTTCCTCAAGGGACTGATCTTGCAGGTACAGAGGGGCACCAACCCAGTTCACACAAAGGGGGGCAAAAGAGCCAAAAAACCTTCTTGGCTGAACAGGGAAATCCAGGACAGCCTTCAGAGGAAAAGAGAGGCTTACAGGCTGTGGAAGCAGGGGGTGGCCACCAAAGAAGAGTACATCTGCTTGGCTTGTGCTTGCAGGGAAGCTGAGAGGAAGGCCAAAGCAGATACTGAACTCAAGTTTGCAACAAAGATTAAGAGTAACAAAAAGTCATTCTTTAAGTACATAGGGAGCAATGCGGCGGCGCAGGGTAACATAGGACTTCTACAGAATGGTCTAGGGAAGCTTGTAACAGACAGGATGGATAAAGCAGAGCTTTTAAATGACTTCTTTGCATCTGTGTTCCTGGACGCGGATACAAACATGCTTTCCAATAAGACTTTAGTCTGGTGTGAGAGAAATACCAATCCACCTACGGTTAGCACTGACCCAGTGAAGGAGCACTTGGAGGGGTTGGACATATTTAAGTCAGCGGGCACTGATGATCTTCACCCAATGGTACTAAAGAAATTGGCTGGTGTCATAGCAAAACCACTGGCACAACTGTTTTAGTGTTCATGGCACTCAGGACAGGTCCCAGAAAACTGGAAAAGGGCCAATGTGGTCCCTACTTTCAAGAATGGGAGGAAGGAGGACCTGGGTAAGTATAGGCTGGGTAGCCTCACCTCTATTCTTGGCAAGACCTTAGAAAAAATCATAAAGGATCACATTTGTTAGGGGCCAGCAGGTAATACAACGTTAAGGGGAAACCAGCATGGGTTTATAGCAGCCTAGCTGGGGTTCCCCTGCTGTAAACAATGACACCCAACCAGCATTTTTGTCATTTTAAACACACTTCTCTTTTCTAAACTTAGCACCCTGCAGTAAAAAACTGCGACAAACATGCCACAAGTGGCACTGGCAGCCTGTGTGTGTGGGGCACGTAGCAGACCAAGCAGGGACACAGGGGCAGGGAGCAGAAAACAGGAGAAGGGGATCAGAGTGCCACTTGGGGAAGGTGAGGGCTTAATTTGTGGCCCGCCTGCCAGAAAGGTTCGCACCCACTGCTTTACATCATTAACAAAGCAAATATACCCAGTACAATGTCCTCACAGACTGACCTGTAGGTGGGGAGGCTGCTGTATGATCTGTTGATACTGCTGTAGGATCTGTTGCAGCTGTGCATGCTTCTGCATTATTCTCTGATACTGAAAGCCAACTCGATGGTGTGGATGCTGCTGCCACTGTGCTGCTGCCACCTGCAACTGCTGCAACCTCAAGTCTTCCTCAGAGTCCTCAGGAGGTTCAATATTCAGCTAAGAAGACAAGTAAATAGTATAAGGGAAAGCTCATTCAAGCACAACAGATAAACAATGGGTCACGACCCAATTCACAGAAGTTTCAGGTCAGTTCATAATTCTGTGACCCTGCATTTCAGTGTTCTGCCCTTGCATGGCACTGCCAGGAGGTGTCTGTTTTCTTCATTCAAATGGATACTTCAAGACAAAATTCAAGTTTCTGAGAATTTGCCTGTTTTAAAAGTCATTAAGCATGTTGGCAGAAAGGATTTTGTGCAGAAAGATTTCACTCCATTCTTTAATATTATCTCCCAAGGTCTAGAGTGGAAAACAAGATTACCATTCTCCTTTCCAGCACACAACTGGAACATAACATATATAACAATTAGAAGAAATAATTATGAAGTAAATCAAACTCCAACCTGTCCCAAAATTCAGGTGTGATCAGGCCTGGGGTATGGAGCTCAGAAACTTGCACACTTTCAGTTTTCAGGTTGGCTACTTTAGATTGAATCTGGGACATTAGCTTGGGCTAGTCTTGTGACTGCAAAGGGAAAAGGCGCTAATACCATCACTCCTGACAAAACTGAGACCTATAGTTTGTCTCTGAAAAAAGATTTCTCTAAGTTCCCAAACCTGCCAGCACAGAAGCATATGGGCAAACAGGCTGGTCCAGCCAAATTGAAAAAGCACTGAGAGACGGTACAGTTTAGTATATAAGCAAGATTTGGACTCAAATTCCAAGCCCCTAAGTTATTGGAGGATCTTGGCAAGTCATCTCCTCAAATATAAAATGGGAGATACTGAACACTTCTGCAAAATGCTTGAGACCTGTGAATGAAAGATGCTGAGTAAAAGCCAGGAATACAGGAGGGACTATTATTAAGGTTTTCCAACCTTTTCAATTTAAGACCCTAATTTTAGCTGCTTTTAACTTTGCCAAAATGTAAGCATTACATTTTCAGTACTGGGTGTCTGCCCCAAGAAAAATCTTCTGGCAAACTTCTTTTATCCATTGTTTAAAAGCTCTAGCACCCCCTGTGCTCTAAAGACTTGAAATTTATTAAACAAGTGGCCTCTGTATCAAATGAGTGTCTTTTGTATTCCTTGAGAACTGCTCAAAGTTAGCGAAGTTAGAAGTCTTTGAAAAATGACGGTTCACACATGCTCATAGTAAGGCTTAAAAACAACAATCTCCTAGGATTCCATTCTTACTTAACATGCTCAGACCTTTACTCCTAGCACAGACCAGTCTACGTATGTTATTCCATAGAACAGGGCTGTTCAACTTCTGGGAGGCCAGGGACCACGTACTAGGTGAGCAGCACACCCTTCAAGGTGCACACCAGGCATCACAGACTCCTTCCATCTGCAGCACAGGTGCCTTCCCACAAGAGCAATGCAGGGTCCTGACCGCCCAAGGAGCTCCCTACCACTGCAGGCTCCTTGGGTCCCATGGGCCATGCAGCCCTGCCCCACCCCCAGGGGCAGGGACAAGAAATGGAGGCTGATGAAGAGAGGGAGAGCTCAAAGACCCCCAATGCAGCAACAGAAGAACAAATGGTGCCCCAACTGGGAGGCCAGGGGCCATGAGTTAACCCTCCACAGGCCACATCTGGTCTGCAGACCACCAGTTGGATGGCTCTGCCATAAAGTAATTGCACATATACCATTCTCTCACAGTTCCTATGTATGACTGGATAGTACATCATCTACATGAGAGCAAATGAGGATACTCCAATACAGAACATCCTATTCCAGGGTCACAGGAATGAAGTCCGACTTTCCTGGACACGGTTTCACTGGGCTGGGGTAAGGCCAGGATCCAGAACTAAGAGCAGAGATCCTGGTCTCCCCTGTGCCAAAAATCATTCAGAGATACAAGAAAACCATCCGATTAATACACAGAAAGGATAAAGCTAGACCTGGGGCATCTTGGGGGAGGACTGGGCAAGGAGCACAGGACTAAAAGCTAGCATGAAAACTAGGACTGACTGGTCAGAAGAGTAAGAATGAGTGCCAGGGAGGAATATGAGAAAAGAAAGGAAGCTGACGGGGTAGTAGGGAATTATGATGGAATGAGGAGCTTGTGGGGAAGGGAGACCTGCAAGAAGCTAGGAATCTGGGGATGGGAATGGGACAGACTTCTGAGTGACTGACTTTACAACCTTACTAGAGTTCTTTTCATGTGGGGCTTTTTTTGCCATGTAATTATTATTCAGACACAGATGAAAGACTAAGAATGTTTTTATAAAATAACATAACACATAGAATGGCATCTTTTTCACACACCTTTGATTCGGCAGCTGAGAGAGGAGGATCCTCTTCTTTGGGAGCTGGTGTTGCAGGCTCTTTAAGTGAAGGAGCTTCAGACTGCTGATTAGTAGCATTTGCTTTCCCTTCCTCTTGCTTTACTCTCTGCTCAGGAGCATCCTTCACTGTTCCTGTGCTCTTCAGTTGCTGCTGTCCCTGTGCATGGGCTTTTGCCCTCTGCTGCAAGCTAAGTAGGTGTTGCTGGTACCAATACTGCTGCTGTTCCTACAACAAACAAAAAAAAATGAGTATTACAGTAGCAGCCAGGCTTACCATGCCAGATTTTGGCATTGAAGAAAGCGGCCAAGCACCAAAATTTGGCAGAGGAAGCAATCTTTAGAGTTGTACTTTTGCCTATTACAAAAGTGGCATGTGCTTCATTGTCATCATCATCTCTATTGCAACAGAGGTCAAAAGATCAAAAACATGGTTCAAGCATCACTATGCCAAATACTGCACAGATACTGTAGAAGGTCTGATGGCATACTTTGACATTTTCTGGACAGAGTGATGCTGGAGAGCTTATTCTGAATGCCCAAGATACTTATTTTCATTATATGTGGTACGGTAACTCCCTACTATTCTGTACCATTATTAAATTCTTTCTAGATTTCAAAACCCAATAGCAAATACTTCCTCCAAGCTGAAATTATGACAAGTCCACAAATGATTTTCATATTTTTCCAAGACAGTAAATAGTAGAACACCATAATATCTATACTTTAGGGGTGCACCAATAAAGATTTTCTTGGCCAATTATTAACCAGCCATATCAGCCAATACTGATCCAATAACCAATTTACAGGAATGCAGCTAGGCAGCATACAGAGCATCTCCCTGCAGGTAAGTCTGTGGAGGGGAAGGTGCATGGTGGGGGGGAGATCAAGGCCTCCACACAGTGATGAAGGGAGTGGAGCAGGGGCTGGAGGCACTGCTCAGCCAGGGTGATGAACGTGACCCGCAGTCGGGAGCGAGACAGAGCCGCAGGCAGCTCGTCCAGGAGATTAGTATCCCGGCTCTTAAACATGGCAGCTGGGGCGCTTGAACTAAAACTCATTAAATGAGCTTTAGTTCAAGTGCTACTGCCACCATTTTTAAGCACAGGGATGTTTTTAACCAGAAATGAGCCAAGCAGGGTGAGGGCAGATGTGGGCTGCTCACTGCAGGCTCAGAGCTCTCCACCCTACTACCTTTGCTCTAGGGGCCCTGCACCAGCCACATGCCCCCTCCCCACCCTGCAGCGGGAAGCACAACTCACCACCCCCACTGCTGCTGGGTGGGCAGAGGATGCACAGCTGGCACGGGCTCCCGAGGGAAAGGCAGCACAGTGGACAGCCACAACCCACAGTAAGCCTCCTGCATCCACCATGTGCACAAATCTGGGGGCCACATGCCCCCCCATGCCTCCCCCACATGGGAGTGTGCACAGCAGCAGGGAGCCCTCCCCTCCCCACCCAATCCCCTGAACAAGCCTCCCACAGCTCTGTCCTACTCCCTGTCCTGGCCCTGGGTCCCATTCACTGCCCTGGCTAGGCAGCACCCCAGCCCCAGGTCCTGCTCCCACTCCACTCCCCTCCCCTCCCCTCCCTGTGGAGGCCTTGATCTGCCCCTCCCCACATCCCTTCCCTTTTACCTGCAGGGCACTGGCTCTACACACTGCCTGGCTGCATTCCTGGCCACATGCATGAGTGTGGTTGTGCGTATGCACATGATGTTTGGGGGCCTTAGCCAGAAGACACGTTATATTTATCAGTGAACGTTATCAGCTGCACCAGCCAAAAAAAAGCCAACAGCTGATAACATTCATTTTCCTTTTATTGATGCCAATCGAATATGCAACTGATATATCGGTGCACCTCTACTACACTTCATCATGGTTTTCACTAACTAATCATAAGTATCCTGGTTATTATTACTCAGTAACTGGAATTTATGCTTGCAAGTCAATAAAATGCTGAGCGCCATAACTTAAATACGATATAAGGAGATAAACTAATTCTACTTCACAGGCTCAGAAGTGATTATTTACTAAGCATGAAGACTGAAGAAACATCTATATCCATATATATATTAAAACTTCATTTATTCAAAGAATTTACAAAGCTTTTTTAAGCATGTTGCAAAGGAAATAGATTTGTATCCAATATCCATTTGTATATATCCTAAAAGCTACACACAGAGTAGCCCAGTGGTGCTCAACTTTTTGACCCTTGGGCCAGGTGGGCAGAACCAGGTCTGTCAATTTGACAGTGTGCAGTGCGGAACCAGTCAGGGGCCGATGAAGCTAGTGGGAACAGCCTGGCTGGGGCCCGATGTAGCTGTGTCAGGCCCCATTTGGCTCCAAGGGCTGTGACTGGATGCAACTGTGCGGGAATGAGGTCCAATCACTCTGTGCAGGGCTTGCCCAGCTAGGGCCAATCCAGAAACATGGAGCTTGGAAATTTGACAGTGGGTAACTGGTGGCAATGTTCATTACCACTGCTCCCCCACTGTCAAGTTTCTGGACCTGTGGGGAGACCTGAACACTGGATTACGCGACTCTGAGTTGGATCTAGCCCACATGCCGAGGTTGAGCACCCCTGGTGTAGTCTATTAAATCATAAGCTGAGGTAGCAACTTCATCTTCTTTGAAACCTCTGACTATCCTGCATTTTTCATACGATTCTTATTCATCCCCCATACTCTCCTCTCCCTGAACATACTGTCAAGGAAAAAAAAACAGCAGAGAGATGGGACAGAATCCAACAGGACAGATAATACATTTTAAAATATAAGTGTGAATTCAACATTGGTAGGTGATGCCATATGAAAATCTCAAGATTGAAGTCTCTCCAATTCATCTTAAAACATGAACAAAATAAGCTCATGGAGTGCAAGTTTCCTCCAACAATATACTTCATAGCTGAAATGGAAGGGAACATTTCTAGTCACAAGAGGTAAAGCTGAAAAATTAAGTTCTATTTTAAAAAATGCTTCTGTAAAAAAAACCTGTACCATATCGATTAGGTACAAAACAGCATAGCATGTAATTTTAAACCCCAAAACTAACCTATGCCAAAGTCCTTCGTAATCAGGATTCAGATCAAGACACAAAGCACTCTGATTCCTATGGACAGAGAATATACACCCATGCTTACAGTCCATGCTCCCAAAAGCTTCCCATGCACTTTTATATTTAAGACATAGCAAGAGCATACAGAGCATCCCCAAGCTGAAGTCAACCATTCTTTCTAAAAAAGTCATCAGACACTGTTCTACAAACAGTGATGAATGTTATAATAGACAGATAAAAGACTGACAGACAGTTGCACTTATGCTGTCATTCATGGGTCCAACCTATCTTCTCTTAAATATGGCCACAGGTGCCAGTAGGTTCAATAAAATGGTAAGATCCCATTATATATATTTCCTAGTACATAAGCCCAGAACTACACATGTTCCAATGTCTGAATGATAAAATTAAAATCAAATACCTGATTAAGGGCTAGTACTCTCCCATTCTCAATCTGGTGTTCATTCATGGAGTCCTGTTACTATCAATATTATTCCTATGCACAAGAAATGCCAGAGTATCAAGGAATACCTTCTTTCACCTCTGGTTAGCTAATATTCTTCTCAGAGAGCACCTCGTACCAGTCAGCCAAGCACCTTTCCCTCCAGGCTGGATGACTACAAAACACTTGACCAAAAGTCTAACAGTCATCAGTCACAACCACACACAAGTTCTACCTTGGATAAGATGTAAAGGCTCACCCAGCTCTTAAGCAAGAAAAAACAAAATTGTACATAAGATTAATAACTCATTTGTTCCATTGGATCCCCATTCAGTTCTGTACCCTTTCAAGGGCATCTGGCCAGCAATATTTTTTGCAAGCATTATAACTGATAGAGTCCATGCTAAAAAATCTGGATGCCTGGATTGTGGTATTTAAAGATCAAGATGAGTCTGAGTATCATTAGGCCATAATGCAAGACCCACCTTTTGGGGCAGCAAGACCTTTGCCAATGAGGAAAGGAAAAGAAAGGTTTGCTGATGCACAGCATGGAAGAAAGACTAGAAAATAAACACTAAAAAACCAGCATGCTGGAACATACAGTTTTGGAACTCATGCATTTTTTTCCATTAAGGATACATGATCTTTGTTTTATATTGTACATTATAGAGTACACAGATAAGAAAGATAATGATACACAATAAAATAAATGTGATAGACAGAACTTTTTTAAAAATACAGCTGACCATAAAGAGAGAGAGGATTATTTTCACTTTACTACCCAATACGCTAAATGACACTGTACTGATACTAACCACCCCCCACAAGGAAGAATCTGTTCTTATATACAGCGGAAGAAAAATAAGACAACAGGAACAATACATGACACTCAAACTATTTGGCTGTTACCACTGTTATACCAGGACAAGATTAGAAAAATTTATCTTCTCTGCTGACCGGGTTGTAACCGTTAACAAACCAAAAGATTTAAAAATTCTTCTTCATATAATATAAGTTATGGTACTTCCATGTTTGCTCTTTAGGACCTTTAAGATACCATTTTCTTCTTAAAAAATAAATTTGAATTTTCCATTACTTCCATTTCAATAAGCTATATTAATGCTCAGTTAAAGCTCCACACGTGTGCACTCAAAAATCAGAAAGTGTTGGGAATGTTCCTTCAGCTATAAATCTGCTTCCCCAGAACATATATTACAATAATATAATAACTACAACTATGTCATACCAGGGGTAGGTCTGGGTAGTTCTGGAAATATTTTTTTGCATTACTGGAAACAGTACTTAAGATGGCTATCCTCCCTGGGATGAGGAAGAACTGCAATATTGTTATATTACAATGTTAACATTGCCAATAGACACTCGTTCAGCACTTTTGAGTGCCTAGTGTGCAACTTCACTATTAAATTAACACTAAGTTATGCATGCAATTTTCTTTTTTTTAAAGAAATAAAGAACTAGAAGACTCCCACTTCAGTAAAAAGATCAACTGGTACACTCATACAACAGCAATTTGTGAACTCCACAGGCACCACCTCATCTATGGATGACCAAGAGTAGTAGGGTCTGTTAGAAATAACCCTATTTTGCACATAGACATACTCCAGTATGCAACTAAGTGGATATAAAAAAATATATCCCTAAAGGATAATAATTTTAAACGTCTGTAATTTAAAATCTACATAGCTTTTCAAACATAGTTTTAGAGCTGAAAAGCAAAAGTCAACTCATAAAAAACGCTTGTCTGTGTTAGACTCATGAAAACAAAGTTAAATTTTTTAAAGCACGTGCTTCAACACTGAATCTGCAACTGGATCTGTGCAGGCAAATCCCTGTGACCATGCAAAACCTCGCTAGTCTTAATCGGCTACAACTACAATACAGGGCCTCAGTGATAATCTTACATAAGGACTTCACCTGAAGCAAGGGAGATGTTTCTCATTTACTACAAGTGAATAATCCCATGAGTCTGTTTACATGTGTGAAGCTAAATGTGTGCACATTGGAAGATTAGGGGGCCAGAGCGCACAGCCCTCCACAGAAAAGTGCGTTGCTCCAAAGGACAAGATTAGGTGCTGATCCTGCAACACACAACATACAAGATGCATCTGGAAGTGGGCAAACTGGAGCCAATGGGTACTGTGCGAGGTTCACCTGCACATTATACTTTACAGAACTGGGGTCTGACAGGTTTAAGACAAGCCCCCGTAGGGCTGGAGCCCAAGCACGGCTGAAAACCCTTGTGCATTTGTCCCACTGCAGTCTGGGAACAGCTGCCACCCCACTAGGCTCCTGAAAAGCCAAACATTTCAGGTCATTTAAAAACAATTCACTTACTGAGTTGCTGCCGATGTGCTTGCCCTTAACCCAACCTCTCTTCAGCTCAAAGGACACATGTAATCTGTGGTACCGGTCCCCCCGCCCAGAGCTCCCTTCTCGGCCTGCCAGGACCCCCTGCTCTTACCTGGGGTGTCATGGTGGAGGGGTCGGGCTGCGCGGCGCTGTGCGGCTCGGCTCCAGCGCCAGCCTCCTTGGCAGCACTGTCCTGAGGGGCCGCCGCAGCGGGTGGCGGCAATGAGGCCTGGAAGAGGGGCTGGGGCTTGGGTTGGGGCTGCGGCAGGTAGGCCGGGGGAGGCGCGGTGTAGGCCTGGCCCGGTGGCAGGTAGGACTGTGAGGCGCTGGGCGGTGGCTCGGAGTAGCCGGGCGCACGGGGCGGGTAGGAGGGTGGCTGGGCCGGCGCGGGCTCAGCCGGCAGGTAGCCGGGCGGTGGGTAGGGCGGTGCGGGGCCCGGTGACTGCGGCGGCGACGACAGCTCCATGTCGGTGGGGCCGG